TGTTATACTTAAACAATGAATCATGGAACACTACATCAAAAACTAATGATGTAATGTATGGTGACTGACATAATAAAATAAAATTAATTAAAAAAAAAGAATTGGGACACACACACACAAACACAAAAAACACACACCAGGTTTCTTAGTATTGTACCATGTACTCAGTAGGCACGCTATAAAACACATTTGAGATGATGAGATATTTTATGGCCTGTTTTTCTTTCTTTTTTTTTTGGGCGGGGGAAAAAAAAGACAATTGCCGTGTGAAATGCAAAAGCATGGATCCAAAAAAAACCGCTCCAACATTTTCTTGTATATCACTGTCAATATTTGGAGACTGATTTCCACTAAAAACATTATTTTAGATGGTGTTATTCTTCTTCAGATCTGAGGCTTTCTTAATCAACTTAATGAAGAATATTTTATTCAAAAACTGATTTTATTCACTTCATAGCTTTATTTTCTTCCATCAGTAAGATTTACAATTTTCGAAATCTAGAGGATAACTATGAAAGTAATTGAAAGTCACAAAGAATAGTTATTCTGATGAGTGCTCATGGAAATTATATTTTACTTCATCAGGGTTTTTTTGGTGCTAGCTAAAGGTTAGAATAATTTCACCAAAAATTAAAATGCACGGCACACTCATATTTGGTTTCTTATTACCATTTCCACCAAAAGGAACCTGAACTTCTTAGAGAAATGGCTCATTCCAGACCTGAGGCAAGGAAAATGCAAGTTGTGCCTGAGAATCCTGTTGTGTTTGAAAGCAAGAAAATTCTCAAGAGCTAAGAGGATTATGTCAAAAGGATAAAAGAGTATGCTAGAAGGGGCTCTTCCTGGCCAAATTTGGGATAATTTGATTATCAAAAACAATGACAGAAACCATTTACAACACATTGATTTGAACTAAATTCACAAAGCAATAATAACTATCCCCTCACTACCAGAGAGAGAGAGAGAGAGAGAGAGAAAGGGGTGTGAGGAAGAAGAAACTTTTCTTTTCTTTTTTTTTTTTTAAGATTTTTATTTATTTATTTGAGAGAGAGAATGAGAGAGAGCACATGAGACGGAGGAGGGTCAGAGGGAGAAGCAGACCCCCTGCCGAGCAGGGAGCCCGATGCGGGACTTGATCCAGGGACTCCAGGATCATGACCTGAGCCGAAGGCAGTCACTTAACCAACTGAGCCAGCCAGGCGCCCGGAAGAAGAAACTTTTCTTAAAGCAGAATGTCAGCTATTAAATGGAGGGGGAACAATAGAACTAAAGATCGCCATTTTGTAGCCCATGCTAAAAATCATTGGTAAAAGATGGTTGGGTTACAGAGTGTTCCTGTAGAGATTACTTGTTCTGCACAAAGAGAAAACTTTCACTTTTCAGTGGAAAGTGATAGCAGTTACCCCTTGAACCAAATGACCCAATTTGAAATTACTAGTAGTGGGACATCTTCACATTACATCTCCCTGAGGTGGTACAATCGGAAGTTTACATTGCCATAGAATGTTCTTGCAATAAAGCTGAATCTAGTGAGGCCACTAGATTCCACTTCCACTTACAGGAAATCCACAGTATAGATGAACAAGTGAAACTCTATGATGAAACACACAGACAAATCTAGAACATGGTATATTCAACAAGATAACTTGACTCTTTAAAAAAAAAATCCAAATAAATAAATAAATAGATAGATAGATAATAAATAATAAAAAATCCATTGTCATAGGAAAAAAAAGAAGAGTAGGGGGACTATTCTAGATGTAAAAAGTACAGAGATACAACCAAGTAATATAATGTATGAAGTTATTTTGATGTTAAGAAAAAAAATATATAAAAAATATAGGAAAACTAGGGAAATTTAAATATGGAATGGATATTAAGTGATGTTATGAAGCTATTTTTACTTTCCTTAGGTTTTTGGGTTTTTTTTTTTTTTTTTTTGGTTTGATAATGGTATTTTGGCTATTAGGAGAATATCTTTATTCTCAGGAAATGATGCTGAGGTACAAGAGTTAAGTGGCATGATGTTTGCAATTCATTTACAAATGAATCAGGGAAAAAAGCAAATAGATGTATGTATACTTATATTTACACACACTTATATGCATACATATATGTATATATGTATATATAAATATTTAGAGAGCATTCATAAATGTGGCAAAATATTAAAAATTAATCTTGGTAAAGCATACATAGGTATTTATTATACTATTTTTAAAATTTTTCTGAATCATGAAAAATTTTCAAAATAAAAAGTTGGGAAAAGTAAAAATGCATGTAAATTAACTTTAAAAACCTACTACTCCAATGATGTTTTGTCCTTTGATGAACTGTTTTAGGAATATTTCATTTGTATCATGTCTTGATAAATTTAATTTTAACAGAAAATAGCAGCCACTACCAGGATCAAGAAAGTGGAACTTGCTGTCAAGTCCTGGCTACATAACCTTCATGACTTTGGGCAACTCACTTTTGCCCCCTGAGGCTTGGTTTGCTCAATTGCATAGTGAGAATAATGTCCTGCCCTCCCACAAGACATGATGATGATATTATAAGCAATTACAAGGCATGCCTTCAACCCCAAGTAATATATTGGTGGATTCCTTTTTCTTCTCCTGTGAAGGGAAAATAATTTCATGAAAAAGGAGAATTGGACTGGAGGCTTTCATGAATAGCTTACCTTTCAGACCACAAAATCTACATGCAGCCACAAACACTGCCGATTCCATTTCAGTATTTTGCCCTCTGGCTTTATATGCTCTCTTCAAGAAATGCAGCTTTTCTTCTCTGGAAAAGGGCCCCAATGCTCCGTCTAGCTGACCTGGCCTAAAAGAGAGTGGAGAACTCTTAGCAACTTGATGTCCTACCAGCGTGGCAACAGCATCACTAAGGGGCTTGCTGGGGACCCAAGTGCTCGATGGCTAACTCTAATGCTTGGGTCTGCACTCCTGGTAGGACAAATCCAGCCATCTGAACCATCCTATCAAGGAACCTGGAGCAAGGCTGTGCCCAGCTCGGGTATCTTGTTGAAAGGAGTCTCCATGATGTTGAGCGCTCCAGCTCTGGGGCAGGTAATCGTTGAGTGACCACTGCAGCTAGGACTGTACTGGGACAGCAGGACCCAGAGGGCTGCTAGGAGATCTGCCCTTTGAGGAAAACCTCAGGTTGCTTCCATGACTGGGGGATGGCTCAGGGACAGGTGCTGGCGGAGAAGAAGCAGCTTCAAGCCTCCTGAAGCTATTGAGGATCAGGAGGGTGGTTTGGACGGTGCAGTTCTCCATCTCTGTGAGGACAGCTCTAGCTGTATATAGGCAATTGACTTGTCCCCTCTGTCCCCTGCCACACATGTCTCAGGCTGCATGCCATCCTTTTGTGATGGCTTTTTCCCTGCTAGGCTGCTCTCAGGGTTCATTTATCACTTAATTTCACCTGTGTAGCTAGTGAAGCCGGAAGGAAGTGGAGAAAAGCCTGATGCTATCTTGCCCATGCCGCTCCCGATTGAGGGGGGAGGGTTGAAGCAGGGAGGCTGATACACTCTGTCACCATCCATTATTTGCACAGTCCCCACTTTGGCTCCCTTCCCGCTCTTTTCCTCCCTTTCCTCTTACACACTACTTCCACCCTGGCTGTCTGCTTCTCCTTGTTCCCTCCTCCTCAGGGCTGCCTGCCAGCACCTCTAATGCAGTGTTATTTAAGCCAATTCAAACTCCGATGTCCCAGAAGGCCAGCAAGTAACATCCATGAGGTCTGCCTGGTCTGAAGAGAAGGAACAGCCTTGCCTCACCTTTAGCAAATGTAGCCTGGACATGGGCGGGGTCTTGCCAGGGCTGCCATGCATATATTATTTTATATTTTTTATGTTATGTTATCTCCAGAAGCCAAAAATCTGGACTTTCATGCGAAACCTCCAGAAATGTTCAATGTTGGCAAAATAATTCACATTTTACAAAATACTGTGCAGGCCAAAGAAAACATTGACTCCAACAGGCTGCCATTTGCAAGCTCTGGCTGAAATCTATCAATGACCCTCCCAGTGAAGGAGCCGTGGCCTATCACAGAGTCTCAACCCTATCAGACCCAACATGCCTCCTATTTTATAACACATATGTACTGACACCCCTTTGACTAACCTGAAGTAACATTTGTAGATAACATAACCTGTCTCCATACATAATTTTTTAAAAATTCAGTATAATACCCTAAGTTTGATCCAAGGGAAAAGAAACATAATTGAAGATGAGATAATAATTTGATGAACATACACAAACACAAAAACACTACAGGATTTCTAGAAGGCCCTTCAAGGAATGGTAACAATCCTGCTTAGGTTCTTTCTTCTGGAATGAGCAGAGTCTGCCCTTGAGGGTCTTTTCTCCTGGCCCCTCCCCCACCCCTTGTAGCAAGAGCTTCTACATGGCAAATCACCTGATTTCGGGACCCCTCATGGTTGAGAGATAAAAGTACCATTCTGAGACTACCCATCCCTTTAGACTCCCTCCCCCAAATATTTTTCCCCGTTTTCTGGTCCCTACTCTCCCCTGGGTACCAGATCCCTTCTGAAGTATGGGTGAATGTACCTTAAAATGGCAGAAACATAGAATCAGCATTTCCCCTTTTCCCAGAGTCACCAGTTTAAATGAAAGGCATAAACAGAGATAAGATTTTGCTAACATCACTAATTGTATTTTAGTATTTGATTTGTTCTTGGAGGATTAAACCCACTCTTAATATAAATTCATTATGGATGTTTCTCTGCTGCTTATTATGTCCTTACATTCCTATGCTCTAGTAAGCCAAAAAGGCTGTTTCAGTTCTTTTATTTAATCCCCAACTATTTAATTTTCTAAAGCAGAGTTTTTTAATGTAAATTATGGCCTTGAATAACAAAGAGTTGCAACAATTTTCTGTTGCTTTCCCAGTTTGTGACTTCTTGTCACCTTCATAAAAATCCTAGGTACACATCACATGTCTGATGAGGACTGGGAAGAGGGGATTCCCTTGCTGTAGCTGAGGAGCTCTTGGGCCAGTTCCTTGTCAAGTTTAGCACTTCAGGTGGTGATGTTGTCCAAGATTACCTATTCGAACCAGGGATCAAGGAAGGAGTCTGTGGCCGCATCTGCTATTACAACAGACCCCAGGGTAGTATTGCAATGTGAGATTAAAAGAGTGGTTACAGAAGAATGTCACTTAGAATTTACTTTTGACATGTAGTATGTAATCCATTCTGCCAACATTAATTAATGCTGGTTGCTAATGATTCTCCCTATTTTCATCTTTTAAATTATTTTCTTTTCCAAATGCAATTAAATAATAATATTCAGAACAGGCATTTACATTTGCTGTCTTTCCAGATTCACATTTACAACGTGATCAGGTTTAGATTTCAAGACAAACATGACTCTTGGACATGCAAATTAGTACCGGCCTTCAGGCTCAAATTTGAGTAAATTAGGTCAGGAATAAACTAAATGAGCCTGCCAGCAAGTAGCTTTCATAAAGTGATGTGACTACTTGATATTTAATCTTCTCTGCAACTCCTTGATTACTATAATTTCTTTGCATCTCTATCCTCTCTTCCTTCTGATTCTTGTCACATCCACCCTCCCCCCCCCCACCCCATGTAAATTAGGCTTCTTGGCTGACCTTCCATTGCTGCAAAACCTGGCTTGCTCATGGGACTCAGGAACTCAAGTCTCAGGGACCCGAGAAACCATTTTCTGCCAACTCCTATTGTCCCTGCCTGCAATGCTGTCTTGTCCTCCCCCACACTCTTTTTTTTTTTTCATCAGACTACCTACAATTCATTCTTCAGGTATGAACATAAGTCACTTCTTTCAAAACTGAATCATGGAGGGGGAAAAGATAAAAAGCAATAATATGGATAGGTTACATTAAATTTCCCCAGCCCAGCTTTTTTTCTTTTTTTTAATTAACCATTTTATTTATAAGATAACGGGGGCCATACCTATTTGTAACCCACGGATAACCTCGAACATTATTTGACAATAGCTTTAGTTTGTCCTTTTCCCCATTTGCTTTTTTTATTTTTATTGTTATGTTAATCACCATATATTACATCATTAGTTTTTGATGTAGTGTTCCATGATTCATTGTTTGTG